TACTCACTCTGATAAGTGCATTGAAGTGAGTAGACGCTATGATAGGAGCATATTGGAGCATGCGACGCGAACCAACCTTATGACGTGCCAACTGAACTAGTGCACACCGGTGCTTGCACTGCTTACACTGACTCAAGACCTAGGGTGCGTTCCGTTTCTCGCATGAGTCCGGATCTACAATAGGCGTTTTATGCCTTATGCCGTAAGAAACTGACAAATTACAGTCGAATCCGAGAAGAATAAGCGACTGTGATTCGCCCATTTCTTATGGCTTAAGGCTTAAAACCCTATTGTAGATCCGGACTGATGCGCATAATGCATCGTTTATCCTTGTTGCTTGCCAAATGTTAAACAAGGACAATGGATGCATCGTGCGCATAATGGGCGATACGGAACGCATCTCTAGTGCAGCCAGTTTGGTGAACTCGTGCACTGAGTTCTGTTGCACTGGAACAAAAAACACCGTCGCTGACCATTTTGGGTACAGAAAACGCTTTAGCCCGGATCCTCATACGGGCAACAGCGCTTTGACACCGAATGCTGATTGGTGAAAAACGGGTGATGGGGGTAAATTTTACCCCCACAACCGGCTTTTCACCAATCAGAGCTCTGTGTCGAAGCGCTGTTGCCCATACGAGAATCCGGGCTTAAGCCAGCAGCACACGATGCTTGTTTTCTTACTGGATTGCTAGCTGGATTATAACGTTTTCGGCCCGATCGGGTTTGCACCAACCTGGGTTGGATTAATCTTTCCTATTGGTAGTACACTTTTTGAACTAGTGCAACCAGTGCAGGAACAGAAACAAACCTATGGATTATGGATCGCGAATCTAGTAATTATCTTTCTGCTTGCGCGGGTGTATGACGTCATCGGTTTTTTTTTAACAAACTGCGTGCAGCCGCTACATGAAAGCAGATCCATTTGCGTAGAATATGACAGATTTCCCGCGTATAGTATCGCGTGTGTATAAACAATTCTTTGTATATGTATATATTATATAGTTTAGAAGCGTTATTTTCAGAATTTTATTGATGTCAGTGCAAAATGAATATAACAAATGTTATTCAACAACGGGAGAGAGGATTCGGTAAATAAACAGAAGCGTATACATCTTACGGGGGAGATTTAAACGACCGTTTATTTTGCACGGGTGCAGGTTATCTATGTGTAATAAAACCAATCGGATTAATCTTTTTAAATTGATTTGGGATGTAATTTAAATGTTGTGTAATCGATGAGAAAGAGAGAGAAGAATCTTTAATGATGAATTTGAATGACGTTTTGTAGCTACAAAATAAAATATTAATGGCATATATTATAATGAGAGAAGAAGATTGATTGCTAAGAACATAATTTGCTATTATAATATTATTTCTATTTGCAAATTTTGATGATACTCTAGATAGACTGATACATTTTATATTTGTAAAAAGTTAAAGTATTATTAAAATAGTTTGTTATTATCACATTACTGCAATAATCCAATAAAATTAATTAAAATTAATAAAAAATTAAAGAAAAAATATAATTTAAATAAATAATTAAATTATGTCTATTAAATTTTAACGGTACACTAACTGCTTGATGTCCTATTCAGGAATGTTATGTGATTACGACATCGCCCTTTATCGCCTGAAATGCTATTACGACGATGTATATCGTGGAATAACTCCGAATGTAAATGCAGTTGATTATAATCCTGAGCCACCGGTGTTTGCATGCCGTTTCTGCACCACGCCAGGATACGAGGAGATTCTTGCCTTGGCAAACGAAGATGGAAAAGTCGCTTTTCAAGACACTAAAATTAAGAACGAAAATAATCTACCATTAGAGGGAACACAGGTTGCCTTTGATTTCGATTGTTATTTAACAAATGTATTTTTTAGTATCAGCACAGAAATATTAACCGGAAATATGTATATTTTTCAAGGCACACTGTAATGCAATCTTTGATATTGCCTGGATGCCTGGGGAGATGAAACTGGTTACAGTATCAGGAGATCACACAGCACGTTTATGGGATGTCACTAGGCCTGAAATAAAACAAATTAAGTGCTTTCATGCACATACAAGAAGCGTAAAAACTGCAGTATTTCGCGATGATGACAGAGGTACTTGGCCTGTTCATCAATGTGTTACAAACACTTGTATTTTTTGAAGAAAAATTGCTGCTTTGAAAAAAGTCAGATTTTCTTTTTATCTTTCATATAAAGGGCAAAAATATATCAACACTTTTTAATTTTTTTCAAGATTTAATTCTTTATGTTCATTTATAAATCTGCATGAAAAATTTAATGGTGTAATATGCAATTTGGAATATCTCAAAATTTTTCAAATATTTTTAGCTGTCTTTGCAACCGGTGCTAGAGACGGCTTCATCATGATATGGGACATCAGAGCCAATCACAGTGATGAGCCTAAGCCAGATAATTGCATTGCTAATGCACACAGTTATGGTGGTGTCAGCAACACAAGACGGAAATTGCATACTCAAGCATCACGAGCGCATAGTATTACCGGTTTAGTGTTTCAAGATGATTTTACACTAATCTCGTGCGCTGCAGGCGATGGGTAAGATTGCTTCCTACTGTGTATTTGTGCACAAGTATAATATCCTCTTCGTTTTAGTCTGCTAAAAGTGTGGGACTTGCGCAAGAATTACACTGTCCACAAGAAAGAGCCAATAGCTAAGCATTTAATGAATTATTCAGGAAATAGCACTAGGAATGGCTTTTCCTCATTGTTAATATGTCCGGCTAGAATTACATTATATGCAAGTTGCATGGATAACGTTATATATGCTTATAATATATCGTCATATAATCGTAAACCGGGTAAATGTTCCTCTTCTTTGAATTATAAAATATATGAATACATTGTTCTAATTCTAACGAAATAGAATCACAGAAAAATTTCTTTGTAACAGTGGCAGAGTATCATGGACATCAAAATCATACGTACTATGTAAAGACGTGTTTGAGTTCCGACGGTCGCTATCTAGCCAGTGGATCCAGCGATGAACTCGCGTACATTTGGAACACTAACAGACCGGGCGCACCACTAGTTAAACTTTCCGGTCATACAGACGAAGTCACTTGCATTGCATGGTGCAGTACTGGAGAAACTAAGGTTCCATTTTAATGTTTATTATATACTAAATAAAAAAAACTTGTTTTATACATCGTAAAAATATTTTTAAAAAGTACTGATTGCATATTCATAGTTATCTTAGACTCACTGCGTGATACAATTAAAAATATAAATGATTATAATCTAGATTTGATAGTTTGATGTTTATCTAATCCTGAGAATCATTTCAGATAGTGACTTGCTCCGACGATGCTTGTCATAAAATATGGAGGGTTGGACTCGAGCATGAAGAAGATAACAAAGAAGTAATAATACGCGGTCAAGCTGAAGTTGTAGAAAGATACTTTTTAGAAAAAATGAAACTGGAAACTACTCCAAGTTCTCGACACTCGAATACTTGTCAGGAAACTACACCAAGTTCAGACGAACACAAGGCATCTATTTTTACTCCAGGTAAACATAAAAGTTATTATTACATTGAGATTTATATGCAAATAAATACAAGATACAAATTTAACAAGTTTCAGTATGGAAAACTGAAACTATTAATCGCAAAGTGATTTTTAATTTTAAATAATTTAAAAAAGAAATCTTTCTTCAAGCTCTTCAAAATTTGTAACAAATTCTATATTTTTAAAGAAATATTTTTGTTCTTCACAGTTACGACTCCCGAATCTAGTAAGGAAGATTACAATGGAAATAAGCACAATTCTGTCAAACGTAGTTATCTGCAAATGATGATGGGATCAAGATCTGAAGGAAAGTTTAAATGTATTTTATCACCTATTCATGAAAACCATGAGATGGTTACGAAACGAGTTCACATGGATAATCGTGGTATGCGAAGGCTGTTCAGTCCAAGTAACGAGACCCCTAGTACGAGTAGAGATAACAATTCTGACGAACCTAGTACAAGCCAGTCCACGAGCACGAATAAAGCTAGTTTTTCGCCTACATTAAACTTGCCAAATTTCGTAATAGATGGAACGGCGCCTCATTTGCTTGAAATATCACCGCAAAAGTACAAAGAGAATGTCGATTGGTTAACGAAAATTAGGAAGGAAAGGTACGAACAAAAGAAGACTGCGTCAGTCTCAAGCAGTCCGAAGACTCAATCGACACCTAGTCGAAGATCCAATAGGTCACGATCAACTGAACCTCAAAAAGTCACAAAAATAACAAAAAGTGTTTCTTTATTGAACTTCTTTAAAACCATTAGCAAAGATAGTGAAAAAGATCTATCTTCGAATAAAAATAATTTGCCACCAACTTGAAAATAATATACGTAGAATTTGGTAATTCACGATATTCACGAATTGAATATTGAAATTCTTTTCGGATTCACAGTTTCAGATATTATTTTATAATATAAAAACGAAAGATTTTAAAATCTTGGTCACTAATATTATAAAATAAGTGAAACTTATGATATGACAGATTAGATATTTAGAAATTAAATTTTAATATTTTTTATTTTACACTATAAAAGCAAAAAATCTTAAAATCTCGGTCAATGATATAAAATAGATGAAATATAGTCATTAAATTTGTTCATGATATAGTATGTTTAATGAAAAAAAAAGACTGGTTATAAAATGATAAGAATTTTTACGCTGATTCATGATGAAATGTGTAAAAGAAGATATCAAAACTTACTCGCAATAATATATCTTGCATAGTTTTCAAGATTAACATTTAAAACGATATGATTGTAAGTTGTAAAATAGACACGATCTGACATAATTTTTTAGTATAAGCATTATGTTAGACATTATATTAAGGCATAAAATGTATTATATAAAAATTAGCAACCGTTATAATTGAAATAGTTTTGTACCCACCAATAAATTATTTTTTTTATGAAAGAGATGTATTAAATAAATTTTTTACATAAAATTTGGTTTAACATATGTTTTATTATCCCTTCTCCATCCATTCTTAGATAATCTAAACTCATTGTGATATAAGCATTAAATGTTGTGAAATAATTTTAAATTATTTTTAAGTATTATTAACTATTTGACTCAGGACAGAAAATTGTTACAGATTGTGGGAGTAATCTTATTTGAATCGGCTTCAATTCGTATTCTTCATGATCAATGTAAAACATCTGATTTTCATTCATCTGAAACGAAACCAATAACTTTATTGTCATCTCTAAGATTGCTATAACTATGAAATAATTATGTATTTTAATATGTATTAATATATAAAATATTTTATCAATATTTATGAAGAGAAAAGACTTACTATTTCAGGATATAATTCAATATCCTTTGCATCTAATATTAAATTTGTTGGCAGTTCATTGTCCCTTTCTTGTTTCCATCCTTTCTCAACAAATTTGGCATAACTAACATTTTCTGGACCTTGATATAAAATTGAGTATTTTGAATTTTAATTCTAATATTCAAATAATGAATAAATATACATATATAAAATGTTATTATTACCTAAAGTTATTTTTAATAAAGGCATTGATTGAACTGATATATTTTCAGTTTTTATGCATAGTTCTGTTGTTGAAATGGGCATCTCATGAAATACACCACAATCTTCATTCACTACTTTACTATAATCGAGGTAATTGTCTAAAATATTTTATATCATATATATATATATATATAATACACAAAACATATTCTTTATCTACTAAACTTATATGTATATACATATATAAGATGCTACTAAAATATTTGGTGAATACTTTCTTCTTTCTTTAATAGATAAAGCTTACTCTTTAACAATTTCTTGAAATGTTTTATCATATTTCTATCTTTTTCATCTTATTACTTTGATTTTAGTAACAATCTGAATAGTTAATTTCAAATTTTACAAGGATTTTATTACCAGAAACAAACGTTTGCTGCTTTGGCAGAAATGCATGCCACCATCTTCTATTCGAATTCGTAAATTGATTGTAAGACAAATCTTTGGAATAACAACATGAACATCCTTTGCAAGGATTTGTATATTTCATTAGCGCATTGCACTTCCAGGTCAAGTTTGACTTATAACCATTGAACACATAGGCCGCATATCTGATTACATTCAAATACAAAAAGCATGAGATAAAGGCATAAGAAGTCTTGCTCAAAGAAATTAATAGATTTACTTGCGTAAGGAACCCCAATACCAATATTTGTCAACGTGTGCATGTGTATCGCTCCAAGCTCCCCATTCTATGCTTCCAACAGCATAAATTGGCTTTATGGGATTTTCAGGATCGTTCTTAAAATAAAAATTTGTATTTTAATACAATTTGATCTACGTCAAACAAATGAAGTGCGATAAAAAAAGTACATACAGTCAGTAATTTGATTTCAATGGCATCTATCGATTTGAGACTATTTTTAATAATTGCCATTGTCGAATCAATCATGTGATGTACGTCAATTAAATCTTCGTATCCTCGATAAAATATGCTCGCGATTGTATTTGTATTTCCCAATGGCAAAATGCCAATAGGACATTGTTTGGCTGAATGAAGATTGTGCTCGTACTTCCTCATCAAGCCAGTTATAACATCTGACAAAGTACCATCTCCTCCTGCTACAATAATCGCATCGGTAGGTGTTTCCAAATTTGTTATTGTATTACGTGCATGACTTCCTGATTGGGTGTCGATGACAGTTACAGAAATACCAGCCAAGTGTAATAGAGGCTCGCAGTACTTCTGAAATAATTTCTTAGCCTTTCTGAAAAGAGAAAACAAAATCAGCAAAGAATGAACAAGATTTCATATCAATATTGAAGTTCTCACAATTACCTTTTCTTAGCAGCCGGATTTAAAATAACAGTCACATGACGAGGTCTAATGTTTGGAAAACAAGAAGCATCTCCATATTGGACTACTTCTTCACAACACTGACGCATTAATTGTTCCGTACTAGATATATAATATACTAATATAATAAAATTCAATGATATGAAGTCTTAACATTATATTTAAAGTTTATATATATAAAAAGGATGTATCTGTTAAGAAAAAATCTATATTTATAGCTGTGAATGAGTATACATTCATAGTATCATACAGCATTACAATGAGTGATTATCATTTAATGACACAAGTTGACATATAAAAATTAGTTTATCTTTCTTGGCATTCAGTGAATAACAAAGATAAAACGATATTTGTGTCAACTTGTGTCACCAAATGAAAAGTCCTCAATGTGTGCATGTAAATTTAAAGAAGAGTTTGAGGTTATGTTCCCCATGGTTACTACTCACTCGTATGCTTGTTTACCGTATGATATTCCATACGAGAAGGCCGCGGCTCCTACCACAGATTTCTTCCAGTTATTACGTATCGTCTTCAGTAGAGTCAACACCTTAGCCATCGTCAATTAAAATCTTAAAACCATTTGGAGTTTAACCACTTTCTGTCGCTCTCTGTTATTCGAATTCAGGCGATTCGATTTGTCTTTATCTCCTTTATCTCGCGATTTATTCTAATTCTCTACAAATTCTTTGATTTCTGAATTTCACGTTATTTTTAATCTATATAAAATGTAGAATAAAAAGATGCGTCGCTCTCACCGCATTGCAAATATTTTTAAATTTACAGGTGAACCAACAGAACAATATATAGGAACTTGGAATTTCTGCTTATGTTTTCCATTACAGAAACTAGAGTATGATGTTCACTGAATGCAAAATAATTTACATAATATAGTGTTTTCGGCCCGGCCAGGTTTGCACCAACCTGGGTTGGATTAATGGCGTTTTGTGCTCTCCTATTGGTAGAGCGGGTGACGTCAACCAATAGGAAAGATTAATTTAACCCAGGTTGGTGCAAATCCGATCGGGCCGAAAACGCTAATATTTTCAGTGTTAACAAATAATTTAACCCTTTTAATTACATATTCTTTGCAACTATAATTCTCGTAATCTCAAAAAGATTAAAATTTTCATTAATGTTGAAAATATGTAAACCGATTTACACTCAATTGTATCAAGTGCTACACTAATTTTCCTAGTGGAAAACGCTATTAGGGAATTAATTCCGCCGGGAGCAATACTGCAGAGCTAGAGATATTCCTTATTTCTCATTCTGCCGCGAACGTTGCGGGGACGCTCGAGTTTTTCTTTCCAATAACCAAGATGTCTAAAAGAGGTGAGTTTGTTTTCGAGCAATTAAAATCCGGGAAAATCGGTGCCGGGACGGTTCATCGGTCCCGAGCGAAAACACGAGAAAACGAAAGCACGTCTCGTGCGTACAACAGAACGAAACGTTACTTCGTTAACGATGTATTCACGAAAATAAAAGAATGGTCCTAATACCGCTATCTCAATGTATTATTTGTTGTTTCTTAAGGACGTGGTGGATCGGCTGGAGCCAAGTTCAGGATATCCTTGGGTCTACCAGTCGGTGCAGTTATCAATTGTGCCGATAACACTGGTGAGTCTGAGAAATACCTTTTGCATGACACCTAACCTCAAAAGGCCTCAACTGCACGCCTTGCGAGCAAGAGGAACACATGGTTGACCGTAATTTGCAATTATCAAGTATTTTTACAACTATTTTGTTTTTCCCAGGTTGTTGATTAATTTTGATTACTGTAGCTTTATTGTACATCGAACTGTCAAAAGAATAAGGATTTAGCAAAAGAACAAGGATACTAATAAAAAATGTGACTCATAATTCATGGCTGTGTTTAGCAGAGAAAACTGATCAGTGTGAGCGCTCAGTGACGTTTCAATACAATTGGTTCCTGTGTACTTGTAATTAGACCAGCAAATAATTGAAGACAAGAATCAATCATATTAAAGAATTACTAAACACTGATCAGTTTTTTTCTGCTGAATGCAACTAGTACTATTTTTTGTAAGCATCAATGAAAAGTATTGTAATTGTAAAGTTGTATCTTTTATCTAGTGTTATTTCTCTATAATGGTTTTTTTCTCTTAAACATTTTTTAACACTTAGGGCTTCTTTTACTAACGCCGATTAACTTAATCGGCCGATTAGTCCATTGGAATTGATCAATCGCATCTATCGTCAAACAAAATGACAAATGAGATTGGTCAATTCCGATGGACTAATCGACTGATTAAGTTAATCGGAGTTGGTAAAAGAGGTCCTTAGTAGTAGGACATATTTATAAAATTACACTATAATTAAATATGGATTAAGAAAAAGAATTAATTATGTACATATCGAGTTATGTAAATAAGTTGTTAAAATTGTATATATGTTTGTATACATAATGTACCATAACTCTAATTTCCGTTTTCATCAATGTAGATTAACTTCAATCTTTTTTCAACTTAATATAGTAGAGAGCGCCTTTAGGATTGGTCAAAGTTGGAAGTTCCGAATAATAACAATATTTTTGATTCATAAATTTAATTAATTTCAAATGTGACTGTGCGCCGAAACGTTCGGACATTAAAACACAATTAATTTGAGATGTTAATAATCGCGAGCCAAAACATTCGGACAATCGCGAGTATATATAATCCCCCCTTTATTTCAAACAAGAAACTTTTATTGCAAAAAATATTACTTTAGCCAAGATCCTGGTTGAGGTAATATTTTTCGCAATAAAAGTTTCTTGTTTGAAATAAAGAGGGGATTATATATACTTGCGATTGTTAGCATCTCAGATTGATTGTGTTTTAATGTCCGAACGTTTCGGCACAGTCACATTGGAGATTAATTAAATTCATGAACCAAGAATATTATATTATTCGAAACTTCCAACTTTGACCGATCCTAAAGGCGCTCTCTACTATATTATGTTATTACAACATTAACTCGGTCCGTTTCTATTTCTTGTTTCAACTTATTCATCTTTTTCTAGTTCTAAGAATTAAAAAAAGGTGATGATTAAGTTGAACCAACATTAGAATTAATGTATGTTGGTGGAAGTGGGTATTAGTGGTAATTTTTAACTCCAGCAGATATATTCATTTATTAATTTTTATTTCACTGATGATACATTCCTTTGTAACAATGCTATTGTTTTTACAGGTGCCAAGAATCTGTATGTCATCGCAGTGCAAGGAATTAAGGGCCGGTTGAACCGCCTGCCAGCAGCGGGATCCGGCGATATGATTGTTGCCACCGTGAAGAAGGGAAAGCCTGAACTTAGGAAAAAGGGTAAATTAATTAAGTCTGTCGTGTACGATGTATGTTTTCCTGTTGGATTGCTTGTATTTTGGAAAATTACTAAAATTTCTGTGTTCTGGGGTGTGTTCACATACCCAGGTATTCTTGTTTAACGGTGTTATTTGGTGAGCAACAAGGATAAAATAACACCTGGGTGGCACTCAGGTGAGAATCTGAACACAGCCCTGTGTGATACTATTTTAGCAATTACTAAAACGCAAGTAATTCAGTAGGAAAACAAGCACGTACTGTAGACTTTACTCTCTTATGGTCTTCCATTCTTTTTTCTCTAGAAACGTTATCTTTTTCGAGGAATTTTGAATAAACATGTGTATCGTTGCAGTGATGCCCGCGGTAGTTATACGGCAACGGAAACCATTTCGAAGGAAGGATGGGACGTTTATATATTTCGAGGACAATGCTGGCGTGATTGTTAACAATAAGGGTGAAATGAAAGGATCAGCTATTACGGGACCTGTTGCGAAGGAATGTGCAGATTTGTGGCCAAGGATTGCATCTAATGCCAGCAGTATCGCGTAATTCACATCCTGTATAAATTACTGTCCTTTACAATAAATCCGAAAATAAGTAGTACTTTTTTGAGTTCATTGTTATGAACGAGTACGTGTCCAACATTTGTATCAAAATCCTTATTCAAAAGAAAACTTTAAAATTTCAGGATAAATTAGGTTCTCTTCACCTTATGCTGGATTCACACTGCATCCGATTTGCGTCGTACAACGCTCTGCAACCAATCAGAAAACAGGATTCCGACGATACAAAGCAAAATCCATCGAAATCCTGTTTTCTGATTGGTTGCAGAGCGTTGTACGACGCAAATCGGATGCAGTGTGAATCCAGCAATATTGTTTTACTTTATTTCGAGGTACACAATCGACCATCTGGGGCTTGTTTCTTTATTTTCAAACAAGGTGAAAATTACAAAAGTGAGCAAATTTACTAGTAATCATTCGGTATATCGACTCGTGTATATAAATTCCGTGAAAGTGTAAGCCAACTCAAGTCTACCACCAGGTGATATTCGTGTAATCAAATCTTTATTGTATTTACAATCATTATACGTTTCGATCCTTGGATTGGATCCTTTTCAATATCGTTTCCTTTTTTAAAAAGTTTTTTTACTTGATGAGCGACATAATAAGTAATACGAGTATATACGAGTATTATAAGTAATACGTAATATTTTCACCTTATTTCAAGATATAGAATCGATCCCCTGCATCTTGAAACGAGATGAAAATGATAAAAATGAGCGAATTTACTAGAATATTTATAATTTTATTAGTTAAGATCTAATAAATTTGCTCACTAATTTTCACCTCCTTACAAGATACAACAGAATCGACATCGCAGTGTCAATTGGTATATTAGTTGGCTCTTTATTGACAATAGATTTGTTCGTCATTTTCCATTCGTCCTCCATTTTTACTCCTTTCCCCACTGTTTGTTCTCTTTTCAACCTCTCTTCTCTCTTCAATCTTCTTAGTTTAGCCTCTTAGTTTAGGAGAGAGAGCAAGGAATTAAGAAAAGGAGCAAGAGAGTGGGAATAGGAGTAAAAATGGCGGATGCGAATACTCACGTTTATAGTGCCTTATAGCGTTTTCGATTGGGCAAAAGTTAGTGCGCACCAGTGCGCACTCGGTTCACACCAACACTGGACGAGTTCCATGGATTGCACTGAATAGTGCAAGTTCAAAAGAATACGCCAAGATTTTCAGTGCTAAAGCTGAAACTCATTTTTGTTCACTTTGAAGCAATGTTCAATAAAATGTTACAAAACCATAGTAAAAGATATTAAGAGTAGGGACAAGACCCCGTTTTCAATTCAACTGCGCAGATTTGCTTGTCCCTATG